AAAAAAAAAAAAAAATAGTGACTTGGAAAGGAGAACTCTGGGTTTCCCAGCCTTAGGCAATCACTTGACATATTCTTCCCAAAATTTCCTAATCTGTAAAATGAAGCTTTTGGACAAAATATCCTTCATTTATTCATTCAGCAGATATTTATTGACTATCTATCATATGTCAGGAGCTATGGTGGCATAATGGTTAAAACATTCAGTTGCTGACCAGAAGGTCATTGATTTGAACCCAAGAGCTGCTCTACAGAAGAACAGTGAGGCAGTTTGCTTCCTTAAAGATTTGCCTTGGAAACCCTGTGGGGGGAGTCCTACTCTGTCATAAAGGGTTACTATCAGTCAGAATGGACTCAATGGCAGTGAGTTTGGGTTTTGGTTTCACCGTGTGTCAAGTGCTGTCCTAGGTGCTAGGGATACATGGATGTCTTGTTGTATGTGCCGCCTAGTCGGACCCGACTCATAGAGACCCTTCCTTGGGTTTCCGAGGCAGTATCACTACGGAGGTAGATTGCCCAACCTTCCTTCCGAGGAGTGGCTGGTGCGTTTGAACCGCCAACCTTCTGGTTAACAGTCAAGTGCCTTAGGCACTATGCTACCAGAGCTCCTGTGGATGTCTTAGTTTTCTAAAAAAAGAAAATCAAACTCGCTTTTGTCGAGTCGGATCCACCTCAGAGTGACCCCTCCTTGGATTTCCAAGGCAGTCTCTCTATGGAAGTAGATTGCCTAACCATACTTCCAAGGAGTGGCTGGTGGGTTTGAACCACCAGCCTTCTGGTTAGCAGTCAAATGCCTTAGGTACTATGCTACCAGAGCTCCTGTCTTAGTTCTCTAGTGCTGCTATAACAGAAATACCACAAGTAGATGGCTTTAAGAAACACAGACTTACTCTCTTGCAGTTTAGGAGGCTCAAAGTCTAAGTTCAGAGTGCTGGCTCTAGGGGAAGACTAGGCTAGAAGTCAAAGTTCAGGGTGCTGGCTCTAGGGGTTGAGTGGAGGCCACTTCACCTTGGGCTTTAGCACTGCCTGATTCATGCAGCTGCAGGGGCTCATGAACTCAAGATTGGCAGGCAGTGTAGCAGGCTGCTGGCTGCAAAGGCAAGAATCCCAGGATTGACAGGTAACATGGCAGGCCACTGGTTCAAATCCAGGAACTGGAGATGATGGACCCTAAATGTGGGGTCCAAATGAGAAACAAGCTAGAGACCTTTCTCAAACCTTCTCCATATATGCTGGAAGCAGACCATACCCTGAAGGGAACTCCCCTTTACCTCATTGGCAGCTCACAGCAGAGTCCATCATGGAAGTGCTTATATCACATCCAATCTCGTCATGAGGAATAGCTCCATTCAACTGCCAAGGCACTGAAAATCATAGCCCAGTTGACATACAACCTTATCAACCACAATTGGCGAACCTAATCCCATTCCTCAGGTAGCTAAAATACTAGTAGAGGAGATAGACATTAAATGACTAACTATAAACTTTACTATTTAGTTACAGTTGTTTAAAGTTCTCTGAACACTTACAGATGAAATAACAGGGGGCCCTGATTTTGTCTGGTCCTGGAGCAAGTGACATTTTTTTTTTTTTAATTAGGATTTGGGTGAAGATTTACAGAGTAAATTCACTTTTCATACAGCAGTTCACATACACCTTGTCTCATGTCATTGACCAAAATTTACAATGCAGCAGCTCCCCTCCCACTTCTTCCCCATAGTTACCTCCTCCCAGTGTCCATCCCTTCATACTCTTCTGCACCCTGAGCTATCTCCCTGTGCATAAGCAGCCCTTCCTTCTCCCATGATTGTTCTCTCCAGGGCGTGTGTCTACTTGAGGTAAATGTTTAACTCACATGCCTGTACTTTGTTTGGCTGGAAACCACAGTTGTGGGTTCAATTCCAGACCTGAAGGGCAGCTAGGGGCCATAGTCTCAGTGGTTACATCAGGCTCCATTGGACCAGCAAACCCGGTCCCCACCTTCTTTTTTTTTTTGCCTCCAAATGATTTTGAGTTTTGTACCAAGCAGGTGACATTTGAATTGAGCTTTTGAAAGAAGAGTAAGAATTAACCATGAGTATAGACTAGGGTCCAGTCAAGTAGAAGGAACTATGTGCATAAAAAGCCAGAGGCAAGAAGAATAAGTGCCAAAATTCTGAAGGAAGGACATTGTATTGGAGCATAGTAAGGAATTGAGCAAGAAAGTGACAAATACGAATCAGGGCAGGTCCAAGGCCATGTCAGGCCTTGAAGGCTGTGATAAAGTTTGAATTTTATTCTAAGTGCACATAAACTCAACAAACCAAACTCACTGCTGTCAAGTCAGTGCTTACTCATAGCGACCCCTCCTTGGGTTTCCAAAGCATTATCTATGGAAGTAGATTGTCCAGTCTTCCTTCTGAAGAGTGGCTGGTGGGTTTGAACCACCAGTCTTCTGGTTAGCAGTCATATGCCTTAGGCACTACACCTCCAGAGCTCATCTGTTTTATTGTACAAGAATAGAGTGGAGAGGGGATGGAAAGATAGAGGATTTGGGAGTTGGCTAGAAACAGGCTGCTGTAGCAGGATGAGATGATACAGCTTGTACTAGTATGATGTAATAGAAATGATGAGAAATAGAAGGTTGGAGAGAGTTTGAACAGTAAAATTAACAGGCCGTAGTTCTTCTATTCATAATACATAATTTCAATCTCCTCATTTGAATTTTCTCGATATACTAAGAAGAACCTAGGGCAAATACTACTTCCATTACACAGAAAAAAAAAGGTAGACCAAAATCCCAATTATTGAATGCTTAGAAGGTAGTAGACCCTATTGTAGGTGCTCTAGATATGCTTTTTTTTTTCTTCCAAATATGCTTTTTTAATTCTCATAATGACATGCTCCCTTTTTTCAGAAGAAAGGGAGGCTTAGAGGATTAAGACCCCAGATCACAAAGACAATAGCTGGTAGCACTAGATTTGACCTCTTGGGTCAGTCACTTGAGTCCAAACCACTCAAGTGACTCTGCCACTGGGAAGAGCAGTTATACTCTCTTCCCAGTGGCAGAGTATGACTAGAATCTAATTCTTCTGACTTCTGTTCCATTGCATATATGATCAGGAGGATTGGTCAAAGCCATTTGCCTAGTTGACCAGATTTTCTGAGTTAATATCGGTGCTGCCTATGGTCACCGTGCCTTTAGCTCCAACAATGTATGGGAACTTTAACATCAGTGTTTTTATCTTTTAGTTATATACTCAATTTCTCTCTACTGACTACAGTCAGTACAAATGCTCCCTAAGTCATGCTCCAGATACTAACTGCTTCAAATGTATAAAGGGTAGAAACAGTCTTGGCAATGACCGGATCCAGCCATTTCTTTTGACAGATAAGGAAATAGGAGCTCTGGTAGCATAGTGCCTAAAGCACTTGACTGCTAACAGGC